TTTTTAATAATAAAGGATACAATTACTCCAAAAACCACACGTTCTCAATCAATGAGGGTGCAGAATTTCTCTAAGAAGAGGGAGGACATTATTATTGTGTAAGTTTGTGAATGCATTGATGGGCTTTATTTTTTTATATATTTAATATTTGTCAACAAGAATTAGGCAGTGGAGGGTTCTCAGAATGAAACTGTTTTTACCTGTTTGGTTTGTTGCAGACTTGAAAAGTCCATTTATCCTTTTCTTCTTTTTTTCTATTCTTTTTTTTTTGGGGGGGGGGGGGGGCAGGGCAGTTTATTGCTAATACAGGAGAAAGAAAATGCTGGAAAAGCAAAATTGTGTGCAGCAAAGTTAAATGGACCATTTAAAGTAATAGCAAGATCTGCTTTCTGGGATCTAATGTTTTAAATGTCAGAGTGGAAGAAATTTGGTGGACCAATATGGAACTTTATTTGAAGGACAAGGTTAATGATTCTTTGCATGCATATTTACTTTATTTGCCTCTGCTTGTTTTCTTTTTCTGATTAGGCTGATGATAAAGACACTGGGAATTACAGTGCCATGCAATACAGACTCATCATTCCTCCAATCAAGGATGGTAAAGAAGGTTTTGTGATTGAAGCTTACACAGGGCTAATAAAAACTGCTATGCTGTTCAAAAATATGAGAAGATCCTATTTCAAGTTTCAGGTCATTGCAACTGACAATTATGGAAAAGGACTGAGCAGCAAAGCAGACGTACTTGTAAGTATGAGCCAGGCATTGTCTTTATGGAATAATTTCTGAGGAAATTCAAAAGCTCATAAAGTTTAACTCCAGGCAGACTTATAGGAAGGCTATAAACTGTATGTACTTAATCTTTTTAAATAACTGAAATAAAGATTTTTTAATTTTTTTTTTTAAACCAAACACTTTCATGCCCATATGAAATGTGTTCCATGTTTCATGGCAGAGATACTGATCTCAGTTACCACACTAGATGTTCAGTATTTTATTTATTCAATGAGTCATTGTTAATGATTCAATTTAGATTCTAATTATTTGTATAAAACATGGACCTAAGTTATGTTCTGGGTCTTCTGAACTCGGATGGCAGCAAAAAAAGTGCTGGTTTTGTGCATTGCATGTCTAAAGCAGGTCACATCTGCGTGGTCGGACACAAGCACTTACAGATCATTTCCACCTATTTTCGAAGCCAGCAAGGTGCAGCCAGCTCCTGTATCCAAGCTGTGAAGCAGGGTTAGCACGGCATTAAGCCCCAGTTAATAAATTGGGCTGTGAAAGCTTGTGAGCTTGGGCTGTACTCTGTGTTAACATGAGTATGTAGCTTCTGGGTTGGAGTTGGATCTGGTGTATTGGCTTGCAGTGCAGGCAGATATCTGAGCAAACAGTCTCTGAAAGCTAGAAGTCGGTTGACTTACTGGGGAAAGCCAAGGTTGCCATGTCTTAGTTGCTCATGTCTGGAAGGGAGATGCAAGGAGTAATTTTGGGCTGAGACTGTACTTTAAGTTTTCAGGGAAGCGACATTTCAAAAATGACACTAGCTTTAGGCCTTGAGTTCCTGGTTTTTGCTGATAAAGGACATTGACCTAGTCCATTCACAGAAACCATCAAAGCTAAATTTCTTTAAAGCCTATATAACTTGATGAATTGGATTAATATTAGCATAATGTCATAGGGATGAAGTGTATTATCTAGTTCATGGGAACACTGTCAAATGATACAGATGATGGCCATAATACTTGGGATATAGAGTTATGCAGGAATTCAGCGAATAAACATAATATATGATGTCCTCATGCCTGACCTCCCAAAATGATAGGGCATTCTCATGCAATTTAGGCAGTAATAGTATATTAAAATATAGCTAGAAGGTATTGACATTAAAATTAGAAAGTGAAGTATGTCTCATTAATTTATAGAGGTAGCTTTACGTTGTCTGAGTGAGTGATGAGCACTCTTGTACAGTGTTTTTGAGCAAGGCCTGAAAGCTTAAGAGTAGCTGTACATACAATTACAGACCCACCACAAAAATTTGGGGTTGCACTGAGCATGATCCATACGTGAAGATCCTTTCTAACACGAGACTAAGCTGTTCCTGGGCTTTGTGATATGTAGAGGATTTATCCTGCTGTCACCGTGGTGTCAGGTGCTCAGACTGGGAGGTGTTAATTCCTTTCAATACAAGCTCAAAGTGTGCACATAAAAAAGGTAAAATTAATTTAATTACTCAAGAGCAAATAATGAGATGTGGGGGAAGACAGGATTGCACTGGGAGGAGGCCTAGAGAGAAGAGGTGGGGTGACACTAGAGGGACAGTACTGTGGAGAACCTGAGCAGAGCAAGGTATCCTCTAGAATTGGGGCCAGGATGCTTCCCCAGAGCCCCAGCACAGCTCTGTGAGCTGCGTAAGCTGCCAAACCCGCTGGTGAAATGTCTTCATGCTGGAGGGGACAGTCCGTGTGAAGGATACCAGTCTGTTCCTGCTGGTTGGGACTGACAGGGTGACTCAAGTTAGACATCTGTGGATCTGCAGTGTGGTTCCATGTGATGGAATTTCCCTCTTTAGACTCTGTGAAACAGAAGAAAGAAATAAGAAATAACATTTTAAAACACGTTTGCTGCAAGTATGCACCTAAAGATACTAAGTAAGTGTGGATAGTCAATAATATCAACTATGATATAATCTTTAATCAAATGTTTGTTGAGGTTTGGGGTGGGTCTCAAGGCCCCTTCCTCATTCAGCTCTCAGCATACACTACTCCCAGGAATCCATTGGTGCCATATAATGATCAAGACCATTTGTGGGCTCTGTCTTGCTTGATTTGAAAAGTGGAAAGGGCCTAGTGAATGAAGCACAGGATCGAAGGGATATTGCTTACAGGCTAGGGGTTATCAACAATTAGGTCTTTTCCCTGCCTCTGCTGAAAGCTGCCAGTTTGTTGTGCTACTTACTTAATTTAACCTGGTTTCCAGCAATGTATTCACATACTTATGGACATGAGACATCTGAACATGCTGGATTCCAAGCCCTATAATTTAGGCTGTTTAGCATCACAGGACCTGGCTGTATTTTTGCTCGGCAGACTGGAAGTGGCAAAAGCTTTCTGAGGAGTGGTGGGTTGGATGATTGATCCCTGGTAACTGTGTCCCAAAAAGCTTCCAGAGAACAGTGATGGTGGTGCCTTTTGAAGGACAAGCCTTTGCTTTCCACTTCTGCTCCCAGCAAGTTTCTGTTTCTCCTCGAGTGGAAGAGAACAGTTTCTCCCTACAGCTTTTCTTATAATGTAGTTAAATTGGACTTAGTTCCTCAACATAATGCTATTTTTAATAATTGAAAAGTGAAAGCCTTTACAAATGTGGATAGCAAGCAAATTAATGTTACTATGGCAACCTTTATTTTTGTCACCAACCTTGTTTTACTATAGCTTGTCATGAATGTCTGTTTATTCACATTTTTGTATATGAACAAGTAGTCGTAATTGTGATTCCTTGAACAGCAAAAGAACTATTGCCTCTTTTTAAGTGTCACATCTGTGCAGTCTCAGTACATAGGTGCACAGTGGTTGCTTGAATTGGCCAGTGTAGTTTATTCTATTAAACTGTTCATTGCTTTAGAGTTCCTTTCAATTATCATAGCCTAAAATTCATTTTGGGTTCATTGTAATTCTGTTTTTCTTACGCAGAAGTCTGTACATGCTGATCAGTGCATCTGATGACATTTCAAGAACATTTAAATATTTAAAGTCAAATTAAGCTTCAAAGCTGGTGCATCAGTGTTTGATGTGAAAGTATATTACTGCTTGTCTGCTGAAGTGCTTACAGGGCTCAGACTTCTCTTTTGAAAATCGGGGGTTGTTTTTTTTTCTTTTAGAATTCAATCAGCTAACTCTGATTTTTAAATTTATCGGGTTTAACATTGTCCTACTTTTCCAAATTTACTTCCAGAATCCTCTATTGAGAGTATAGGTTTTGGAGTATGATGTTTGCTGTCATGTCTGTATGGACATGAGCCAAGTTTTAAGAAATGTTTCATTTTCTCCACCAGTATGGGAAGTAACTGTTCCTTTCACAACCTGAGGGGAAGCTGGCTGTGCTAGTGAAGAGAGAGATATTACAAAATGCAAAAATATTTAAAAGGGAGGAAAAAAACATGCACTCATTTTACTGGAAGGCAGCCTTTTCTTGAGACAAAAATAGCTTGAGGAGACTGGATCAGGAGATGTGAAGCAGAGTTTGCCAAATTTGCTGAATTTGAAGTATGCGTGTAGTCCCTTCTGCACCCTGACCAGCCAACCTGTGGCTGAGAAACAGAAGAGTTACATTACTTTTGTAGTACAAAATGCTAATGTGAGAGATTTGTTCTGGGGATGTTGGTTCTTCTGTGGAATCCTGTATTTAATTTGTTGGGTTTTTTTTAAAACAAAGCACATGAGTACTGAGTGTATCAAAGATACATTTTGCCTGTCCTTATAAATAACAGTGCAATTGTAAAATGCATGTGATTGTGTGCAGTTTTATGCCATATAGAGAGAGAAGCTAAAAAAAAAATGGATTAAAATAATTTACACTGATGACTGCAAAATAGGTGAACAATTTATTTTGTGATTTTCTAACAAAGTATCGTTGATTTAGTTGAGTTAATCTAGAATTTGCATTTACATTGATGCAAACTGCATATTTCCAAGGTTGGATTTTCCTATCAAGTCATAAAAAATACTAAAATGCTTATAAGCATTTTTTGAATATGGCACATGGGAGAGGCATGATTCTGTAAGTAGTCTAAACTACGAAGAACAAATATTGTAGTCCCTCCCTTAAAAATCTCTAATACCGATTCAGTCCTGCAGCTACAGTTCTCGTTAAATATTTGCCTGCTGTATATTGGTTTTGGCTGCCAAGCAAAGGAAGATTTCCCAGCTCTCTTATTTGGAATTAAAATGAGAAATTTGTACATCAGGGCATGGCTATGAAGGCAGGAAAGTAATTACTCCATTCTTTTTGTATGGGGAGGATGTTATGCATGGGAGTGCCAATTGAATTTCACTCTTTTGTTTCCAGGTCTCTGTGGTCAATCAGTTGGATATGCAAGTCATCGTCTCTAATGTTCCTCCCACCCTTGTGGAACAAAACAAAGATCAACTCATAGGGTAATAAATTTATTTACTTTACAAATATCAGACAATTCACTGGTTTTGTGTTTAGATTCAGCAAGGAGTGCTCCGTTTATGCCATGATCTGTTTTTTTGCCAAAAGACTTGAAAATGAGCAAGCGGGTGTTCTGATGGAGAGCACAACTGGCTGAGTGACAGCACTGTCCCCCCAAACCCACACTTTCCCCCTCCTCTGGAGAGGACAGAGGTACGGCACTTCTTTGCTTGCACATTTTCCCACTTTACAGGCTGCAACTATGTTCAGAGCTGCCCTTAATACAAACCATAGTGGAGCCTCTGAACACTGAGCGCAGAGCCTGCATCTGTCGAAGTCCAGGATGTGAAATGGATAAAGCACATCTCCAGAAGGTTGTGGCAGTGTGTCTCAGAGAGCTGTACTGCTTCACTGTGATTTTATTTGGGTGACACAGCTGTAAGGGAAAGCAGAATTTAGAAAATTTATACTGGTACAATTAATACCACTAACATAATTACATAAAATTTTAATTGCAAAAAATTGGTAACAGATAGTTGTTATTGAGGCCTAGCAGGTATAAAATGTTGTGATGAGGGAAAAGGTAATGGGAAACATGGATGCTTTGCAATAAAAGGGAAGCATTTTATCATACTGGAAGCCAGCTAAAATCCTTTGGTAAAATATGTTTTAATAGTGCTCATAACACCACATCATCAGCAGCTTACAGGAGTCAGTTTGCACTTTCAGCTTCTTTTTGTAAGACATGGATGACTTTCTATACTTTGTGTCAGTACGCATATAACCATGATGTAGACAATATGGGAAAGAAATTTCTGTAGGAAATAGTTTAAAAACCAATCTTTATACAGGGATGAATGGCATATCTCAGGTATCACCAGGTCTGTTCCATCCCAACTGTTGTCATACCTTTACTTCTCCACAGAAATTGAAATACCTTAGGGTTGATGATAGAATCACTCACTGAAATTGAAGTGTGTTGTCTCTAAATGGCTCATGTCTTCATTGTGCTATGAAAAAATACCAACGGATTTGCTTCTGGAGATTTAGGACATGTTCCCGTTTTCTCTCTGTTTTGACCCAGGTGTAAGTTAGCTCTGATAGATTCTAACATCAAAACCACTAATTAAGTTGTTCAGGCAATAGTCTGTATTCAGAGGGACTCCTATTTCCTAGAGCTGAGAAAAAGGAGTTGGCTTGCTTAACAGTTAAGTTGTAGCTTTCCAAAAGTGTCAGGTGTTGGTGTTGACTGGAGAGACAAGGAATGATGTATCTTTTAGTGACAGTAATAGGAAAAGTTTGCTTCTGCTTTGCTAAGCCTTCAAGTTCATCTTAGCATGCTGCACTGTACAATTTTTTCTTCACACAGTAATTTTTAGCCTTCCTGAGCTTCTGTTTTGAGTGGAGAAGATGGACACATGATGTGCACCATGTGTTTCTACATGATGTAGCATAGATCTCATGCTAAGTTGGACTTAGGCTGTGTTTTGAGATCCTCCCAGTTTTGGACTGTCCTGGAGCCAAAGGAGCCACTAGCAAAATACAGACAGCTCTTACAGAGGATGATTTGAAAACAGAGCGGAACAAGCCTGCCTTGAATGAAGTGTCAACTGCATGACACATGTGTCATGGGACTCTGAGCATGAATGCTGCAATGGATGGCATGGCAAGAACAGCAGGAGCATATAGCATCTCGCCCTGTCACCATCCCTGCAAAAATCTCCTTTTGCAAACACTGGAGCAGCTTGTTTCCAGCTCCCAGCAGGTCTCAGCAGTGTTCAGTGCCTCAACAATAAATTGTGCCGTAACCATACCCTCAGTCCTGTCCTCCAGGGCCCAGAGGAATAGCTGGCATATCCTGAAACAGCCTTGGAAAAAAGCCCAGAGCCACATACCTCAGTCTCCAAGCTCCGGAATACCCTTTTCTGCCAGGCTGGAGTCTTTTAAAACTTGTTTCATGCTGTTCTGGTCCTTGTGCGTGGAAGTCTCTGACAGGTGTGTAAATATTTCACAGTGAATGAAGCTTTTGAATGATTACAAAAGTAAAATAATATTGCCAGGTTTTGAGTACTGAAAATTAGCTTGAGAAGTCTTTACCTTCCCAAACGTGAGGCCAGCAAATGAGTGTAGCGTAAGAATTTCACTTCTAAGGATAAGCTTTTAAGGACAACCTTTGCCAGAAGAGGTTGCATTTGCTTGCTTTAGAATTGTTGTGTTCTTTTCTGAAAATATTTGCGGAAAGCAAAAGTCTCAGAAAGAACTTTGCATTTGTGTACTTGTCTGTTTCACATAAAAATGTATTTATTTCATTGCCATCTTAAAATTTCTTGCATTTTCCTCCTGAAGTTTAGAAGATTCCTCTCTTTCTCTGTTTTTGTAAAAGCTTTAATCATTCATTCAGGACCTAAAAGCAAAATAATAGGAATTTGTGATATTTCATGCGGTATATGGAAGATATAACCCCAGGCAAAGGGAAATAATTTGGGGACCTTCTCAGGCTGAAGTATTTTTGGCCCAAAGAGGTTTCTGAGCCATTTCAAATAATGCACTAATTTATAAAATTAGAACACTTTGTAGAATTCATTAACTGATAAAAAGACTGTATCATTAACTAAATTAGTCATTACAGAGGTTATTCGGCTCTTTCTCCTCTCTTTTTGGTACTGGAGTGACAGTAAATATTAATCTCTGAAAATATAACATTTAACCACCAATTGCAATACTTGGTGATGAAGACTGTTGGGTAAGTGGGTACTTGGGTCATTTTTTAAATTATAGTGATTTTTCACAATAAAATAAATAGGGATTTAAACAACTTTGGAGAACAAATTATAACAGATTCTCCTGAGCTGCCTGTAATTTTCACTAGAGAGTGGATACAAGGTATTAAGAAATACATAATTCAGTTCTTTCACACTGGAAAGGTTTGCTCAGCATAGCCCTGAGATGTGTGCTGGTCAATGGTCCAGATAAAGGAAGCATGCCATAGAGGAAAGATTTAAAACATCAGTATCTATTTGGCTGAGGAGTTTGGGCTTTTTGTGGGATACAATGGGTCTGTCTGCAGCTGACATTTCTGATAGTGCCATGATCCTTTGCAGTCATTGAGTAAGCACCTTGTTTTTCCTACAATTGCTTTAATTTCATCAAGCTGTTCATATCCTCTGGAGTGCACATCAATGTCAGATTTGCCATTTCTGTCATCCACTTTAATTATGCTTGTTCAGATGGGGCCGTTTATGTCCGCTACAGAAGATGACAGGGAAAATGGAGTGAGGGAGGCTTAGTGGAAAATTCAGTGCATGTTCCTCTCCTGCAGAAAACTTGGTGGAAGCAGACGACACTGTTCTTTAAGTATGGCAACATTTGTGAGTGCTTACTCATGGGCTTCTGAGCCTGCCTTCTCTCTGCATCGCTCCAGCATTTTCTGCTCTCCTGGCCTCAGGAATTTAGGTGCATACAGCCTCCTGACAGACCTGCCTGTGGAAGTAGAATTCAAGTGCAGATGTTCTTGAGTAACAACTTTATCTGTCTTCTTGGATGTTCATGTGTATCTTAATAGAGGTTATTCCCTACTTTTCAAAACAAAATTACTGGAAACAGCACGTGTGATCATTCCAGGGAACTTTTCTTCATGTGTATTTTGGCCTGTAATAGGCTGCAATCCTTTAATGCCTTAATGCTTATAAAAGAATGGAGCAGTTCCATAGTTAAAGAAAATCCACACTCAAATCCCTAATACCATGTAGAAGTGACCAGGCAGTTTTTTATCAGAAAATTCAAACGTAAAATCAAGTGCTGATCCTCAGAGATATACCGAGTGAGTGTCTCGGAATACGAACGCTCAGCCTGCTAACTTAATAGTGTGCATATATAAAGTTGACTGCGATCATTTCTCAAAGGAGTGTCTGCTCTGCTTTGCTGCATAGAAACTGTGGTCCACTTAAAAGATATGGCATAATATATACTACAGCAACATATATTGCTATAAATTATATATCATAATATACATCACATGTACACTGTACATCACATATAATTTTATGTCTAATCACAGTATATGAGATGATATATTTCATGTATAGGAGCTGCAATGCTCAGTCCTCTCTTTAGGGAAATGTTTCAGAATGAGGATGATTTCCCTTCAGTTGTGTTTTGCTTTTGACAATATAGCAAATGGTGTTTTCTAATCTCAGTTGCAGAAGCCAGTCGGTGCCATTTAAAGGGAGTGCTGACGCGAGTGCTTTACGTGGCACTCCTGTATATCGTATTTTATTGCTTTGTTCCTACTTGCTTTTTTGTTAGAATGTCGGCCTGTTCAGTAATTGGGAGGATGAGTGGATGCCTCTGCGTCTGTATCAAGATGTGGCTGTGTATAATGAAATCAGATGTTATGAGGCATCACTGGGGTTCCAGCATTCTTTCTAGGTTAAATAAAGCCAGACACAACTACAGCTTGGACGGGCTGCCTTAGAGGTGCTTGTTTGGAAATGCGGTGCCTCTGAAAGCACTCCTGACTGTATTAAAATGTTCAACCCTAGTGCACCAGTGTTTTTTCTGCTCCTCAGTCCATGAGTTGGTAGCAAATGAGCATGTCTGTCATGCTGGATGTAGTTGCAGTAAATAAATCACTCGGACTTGTTAGTTTTGCCAAAGGAGAAATACAATTCTGTTACTTGCTTTATGGTTTTTGCCACATAATTACTGAATTAATTAAAATTCAGGTGACTGAGCTTTTTGCATATGGGGCTGGTGGCAGTGACCTTGCCATTAAGCCCTCTTCACAGCTAGCACTTACTTTCCTCCCCATTATGAAATGTCCTTTTGTCACAGCTTCTGTGGTAACTGCCTTGTTCTTTGCCTTGGCATGCTCTGAGGCTGTTATATGGGTTCATTGTTCTCTTGTCGGTCCACCTCCCCTCTGCCTCTTTCGCTTTCACTTCTTTGCACTGTATTGTTTAATCTAAATTAAACTGCAAAATTTACAAATAAATAAATAATG